TATATATATATATATATATCACATCCAGTCATCCATTCATGGATACATAGGTTGTTTCCATATCTTGTCTATTGTGAAGGATGCCACAATGAACATGGGAGTACAGAATCTCTTTGGGGTACTGTATCATTTCCTTTAGATATATGCCTATTTCCTTTAGATATAGAAGTGGGATTGTTGGATCATAAGGTAGTTCTATTTTTAACTTTTTTGAGGAAACTCTATAGTATTTTCCATTATTACTATAGTAATTTGCATTCTCACCAACAACGTACAAGAGTTTCCTTTTCTGTATTCTTGTCAGCTTATGTTATCTCTTCTCTTTTTGATAATAGCCATCCATCCTAACAGACATGAGGTAATAGCTCATTGTAATTTTGATTTGATATTTTCCTGATGATTAGTGATGCTAAACACCTTTAAATATAGCTGCTGGCCATTTGTAAGCCTGTTTAGAAAAATATCTTTTCAGGTCCTCTGCCTGTTTTCCTAATTGAATATTTGATTTTTGTTATTGAGTTGTATGAGTTCCTTATATATTGTAGATATTAACCTCTTATCAGATACATGGTTTACAAATATTTTCTCCTATTCTATAGATTGCCTTTTTATTTAATTGTTTCCTTTGCTGATGTAGTTTTTTTTAGTTTGATGTAGTCCCACTTATTAATTTTTGACTGTGTTTTTGGTGTCATATCCAAAAAACATCATTGCCAAAACTAATGTGAAAGAAATTTTCCCTAGGCTTTTCTCTAAGAGTTTTATAGTTTCAAGTCTTATTGTTAAGTCTTTAATACATTTCGAGGTAATTTTTGTGAGTAGTGTAAGATAGGAATCCAGTTTCGTTCTTTTGCATGGGGATATTTAGTTTTTCCAACACCATTTATTGAAGAGACTGTCTTTTATGTGTTATTGTGCTTTTGACACACTTGTTGAAGATCAGCTGACTACAAATATGTGGATTTATGTCTAGGCTCTCTACTTTCTTCTATTGGTCTTTATGTTTGTTTTTATGCCAGTATCATAATGTTTTGATTATTATAGCTTCATAATATAGCTTGAAGTCAGGAAGTATGATCCTCTAGCTCTGTTCTTTCTCAAGATTATTTTGGCTATTTGAGATTTTTGTGATTCTAGATAAATTTTAGGATTTTTTTCTATTTCTATTTCTATGACATTGGAATTTTGAAAGGAATTGCATTAAATCTGTAAATCATTTTGGGTAGTATGGATATTTTAACTATATTAATTCTTCCAATCCATGAGTGAGATTATCATTCCATTGATTGTGCTTTCTTCAATTTCTTTCATTAATGTCTTACAGTTACCTCTTTGGTTAAATTTATTCCTTTTTTGTTTGTTTGTTTTGATGCTATTGTAAATGAGATTTTCTTAATTTCTTGTTCAGATAGCTCATTATTAGTGTGAAATGTGGCTGATTCTTGTATGTTGATTGTGTATCCTGCAATTTCACTGAAAGTGTTCAGTAATTCTAAGAGTAGGCATTTAAACATAGGTATCATCTCTCTAAACTTCCATGTTAGAATTGCTTTCACTGCATTTCATAACTTTCAGTCAATTGTTTTTCCATTTTTGTTCATCTCCAGACGTTTTTTTTAATTTCTCTTTCGATTTCTTCTTTGACACGTTGTTGTTTTAAAACTGTTTTGTTTATTCCCACATTATTTGCGAACATTCCAGCTTTCTTCCTGTTAATCATTTGTAGTTTCACACCATTGTGGTCACAAAAGGTATGTGATATGATTTCAATCTATTTAAAATTAAGAATTTACACCCTACCTTCCTTTTTGTCAGGGAGTGAGAAAAGGATACACTGTCAAATTGGTGGAATGATGTTAGCAAGCTGGCAGAATAGGAGTTCTGTACTATCATCCTCTCACAGAACAGCAATTTTGGCAGTTGTTATGTATGACAATACCCAGGTTGGAGTCTGGGAGGTTTCTGTTTTTTTTAAGATTTTACATATTTGTCATAGAGAATGAGAGTGAGAGAGCACAAGCAGGGGGAGTGGCAGACAGAAGGAAAAGCAGGCTCCCTGCTGAGCAAGGAACCCAGTGCAGGACTCGATCCCAGAACCCTGGGATCATGACCTGAGCCGAAGGCAGACATTTAACGACTAAGCCACCCTGGCATCCTGGGAGTCTGGGAGTTTAGGGAAGAAGTTCCAGTATTCTGTTGAAGCAAATAAAATCCAAGAATAAATGCACTGAAAAGGGTGAGAGTAACTGTTTTACTTTACCCACTTAAAGGTTGCATGGTGCCAGGAAAGACCCCCAGGGCCTGCAATTTATCTCATGGGGGAAAGTGAGGTAGTGGAAGTGCCCATCCAGTTTCCTCTGCTATGCAGTATGTTGGCAAAATATCCACTTCTTTCTTGTCTCACCCAGATTACCAAGTTGGTCTGTAAGTTTGAGGGTTTGGGAATGGCTGGGAAAATAGCAGCCAAGTCTTAGACCCTATTAAAGGGATACTATTAGTCACTTCTCAGTCCTTCCTACTAACCAATTCATGGACTCCAGCAGAAAGTTGCCCACAAGCCAATGGAAAAGTCTCACCCGTGGATCCTTTCTGCTGGTCCCTAGGAAACCCAACTGTTTTCCATGCTTCAAATCTCCCCTATGTTCCCTGTGGCCAGCTCTCAATATGCTCCCACAGATAGTGAGAACAAGCCTTAGCAGTCAGTTAGTGGGCAAGCACAGAAAGCTAGCCTGGTTATGCAAGATTGAGAGAAGGCTCACACACTTAAACATTTCAGGGCACTTCTTTTGGGAAAACAAAAGGCTCTCAGTACCTGAGTTGGCTTTGTGGGATCAAGTGAAGTAATAAAATCTTAAGAATTCCCTCCCAGAAGAGAAAAAGAAATATGGAGTGGATGTATCTATTGAAAAGATTTGAGAGAACCTCAAAATCCTTAGCCAGATGGACAGGTAAAGGTATCTATTTCTCATAGCCAGTCAGTAAAGACTGGAGGAGCTAACTGCTTCTTCAAATGATGAAACAGTCATTCAAAAGTTCAAGGAAACTGAAAAATCAAGGAAACATGGCAGTTCAAGGGAATATAGTAATTTCCCAGTAACTGACCCTAAAGAAATAGAGCTCTATGTCTGCTTGACAAAGAATTCAAAATAATTGTCCTAAGGAAGCTCAATGACCTACAAAGGAAGATATATGAACAACCAAATATAATCAGGGAATTAATATATAAACAAAATGAGAGATTCAATAGAGACACAGAAATCATTTTTAAAAATTAAGCATATTCTAGAGGTGAAGAATACAATGAATGAAATGACAAAAAATGCAATAAACAGCATCAACAGCATACTTGATCAAGAAGAATCTCAACTGGAAGACAAGTCATTTGAAATTATACAATCAAAGGAGAAAAGAGAGTCAAGAAACCTTATGTGAATTATGAGACACCATCAACTGAAACAAAATTCACATTATGGAAGTCCCAGAAGGAGAAGAAAGATGGACATAGGCAGAAAGCTTCTTTAAAGAAATAACGGCTGAAAATTTCTCAAATCTGGGCAGAGATATAAACATGAAGCTCATAGGTTAGATTCAACCCAAAGAGGACTTCACTGAGACACATTTTAATAAAACTGTCAAACATCAAAAACAAATAATTTTAAAGCAACAAGAGAGGAGAAACCTATTTAATTCAAAGTTAACTCCATAAGGCTGTAAGTCGATTTCTCAGCAGAAACCTTGCAGGCCAGGAGAGAGTAAGATGATATATTCAAAGTGCTGAAAGGAATAAAAACAAATTCTGTCACCAAGAATATTTTAATCAGCAAAATTGTTCTTCAGAAATGAAGAAGAGATCAAGGTTTCCTCAAACAAAAGCTGAAGGAATTCATCACCACTAGACATTTTATATAAGAAGTGTTGAAAGAATTCCTCAAGCTCAAATGAAAGGATGTGAACTACTAGCAACAAGAAAACATATCAAAGGATGAAGCTCAGTGACAAAGGTAAGTATATAGTCAAATTCAGAGTATCTTAATACTGTAATGGTGGCCTGTAAATCACTTAACTTTAGTATATAGGTTAAGAAACAAGTGTTTAAAATGACTAGCTAAAATAATTACTTAATAGATACACAATATAAAAATGTAAAATGTAAAGTCAAAAACATGAAATATGAGGAGAGGATGTAAAAAGATTGTTTTGTATGCAATAGAAGTTAAGTTGTTATCAGCTTAGAATAGATTGTTATAAGATAGGTGTTTTATGTTTTATTATAACCACAAAGCAAAAATCTATAGTAAATACACAAAAACTAGAGAAGGAATCAAAGCATACCACTATAGAAAATCATCAAAACTCACAAAGGAAGACAAGACAGGAAGAAAGGAACAAGGAAACTACAAAACAGCCAGAACAATTAACAAAATAGTGAAAGTACATCCTTACCTATCAATAGTTACTTTAAATGTAAAGAGATGAATTCTTCAATCAAAAGACAAAGTAACTGAATGGAAAAAATAATATGATTTAACGACATGCTGCCTACAAGAGGCTCACTTCAGTTTTATGGACACACAAAAGCTAAAGTGAAAGGATAAAAAAAGGTATTTTATGCAAATGAAAATCAAAAGACATTTGGATTTCCCTGATGCTGAGTGATGTTGAGCACTTTTTCATGTTTCTGTTGGCCATTTGGATGTCTTCTTTGGAAAAATGTCTGTTCAGGGAAACCCAAATTAAAACCTCAATGAGATACCACCTCACACCAGTCAGAATGGTTAAAATTAACAAGTCAGGAAATGACAGATGTTGGCGGGGATGCGGAGAAAGGGGA